GTGCCTGATAGGGGGGACCGATCGGGAGCCCCTGATCGGCCCTGCTCTGTGTGTGACAGGTTGCGGCGCCCCAACCCCCCCATGGACCCTGCTCTGTGTGTGACGGGGTGGAGCCGCAACCTCCCCATCAGCCCTGCCCTGAGTGTGACAGGGGAGAGTGCCCCAACCCCCTGATCGGCCCTGCTCTGTGGGTGACAGGGGTCAGCGCCCCAACCCCCTGATCTGCCCTGCTCTGTGCGTGACAGGGGGTGGCGCAGCAACCTCCCCATCGACCCTGCCTTGAGTGTGACAGGGGGCGGCGCCCCAACCCCCCAATCAGCCCTACCATGGGCGTGACTGAGGGTTGCATGGCAACCTCCTGATCCGCCCTGCTCTGTGCATGACAGGGGGCGGCGCCCCAACTCCCCAATCGGCCCTGCTCTGAGCCCGACCAGGGGCTGTGGGGCAGGCACCTAGGGATTGGGCCTGCCCTCTGCCACCCGGGAGCGGGCCTAAGCCAGCAGGTCGTTATCTCCCGAGGGGTCCCAGACTGTGAGAGGGCACAAGTGGGGCTGAGGGATATGCCCCCCCAGCCAGTGCACAAATTTTTGTGCACCGGGCATCTAGTTATTTAATAATGATTAAATATTAAGTTAAATAAATATGAAATAAATCATTGACAATCTATTATTACAACACAGTATGCTCCACTTAGTAACATCTAAGAAAATGTTCACTAACATGAAAATAGTCAATAATGGGACATATATCTTTATCATTCTTAACTTTACTACAAGTCTCTGTTTAAAAAATGCATTCCAATAAAGGTACATTCCCTACACCTCTCACTATAACCATCCTGTGAAAGAAAACTCACTCCACCATCATCAACAATCACTTCACTGAAAACAGAAAGAGAAATGCACATGGATGGGTTTTCAGTCCTCTACTGGCTGCAGAATACAGGTTGAGGTTACACCGAGCTTCCAAAATAAAATTTGAAAATCCATGATCTAAATGAGAAGCCACAAGTCAGAAAACTCAGGACTATTTCCAGCTTCTCATTAACTCATTATACATCTGTAACAAGACCCTGAATTTCTCTGGTCTTCATATAACCAACTTTGTTGATGGAATGGGCTGCTCTGTAAAGAAATCCTTATTAACCAAAGTGTTCAGAGGTTAGATGACCATCCTCTGTTAAGGATTCCTCAACGGAATGGAACATTAAACTGAATGTGTTTTTTTAATGTATTTATTTATTTATTTATTTATTTATTTATTTATTGAGAGAGAGAGAAAGGGAGAAGGGTAGAAAGAGAGAGAAGTATTGATGTGAGAGAAAAACATCAATCTGCTGCCTCCTGTACACCTTCTACTGGGAATCAAGCCCGCAATCTGGGCATGTGCCCTGACCAGGAATCGAACTGGCGACATATTGGTGCACAGGAAGACACTCAAGCAACTGAGCCACACTGGCCAGGGCTGAACTGAATGTTTTGGGTTTTTTTGTGGTTTTTTTAAATCTTGACAGGGTCTCTGATATCTTCTGAGAACAAATCTTGTAAATAAATTATTAAGCAATTCTGACTTATGCAATCACATACTTCATTATTCATCTCAGCAGCAGAATGGCAATGCTGGGACCGAGGCCATTCTCTAAATATGCACTAGAGGGGTTTTTTTGTGTTTGTGCGTGTGTATGTGTGTTTTTTTGTTAATTCTCATCCAAGGATATTTTTCCCATTGATTTTTAGAGAGTGGAAGGAAGGCAGGTGAGAGAGAGAGAGAGACAGACAGACAGACACATTGGTTGCCGCCCACATGCGCCCAGACCACTGCAGGGAATGGGACCTGCACCCCAGGTATGTGCCCTTGACGGGATTCAAACCCGAGACCCTTTGGTACAAGGGCCGATGCTCTAATCACTGATCCATGCTGGCCAGGGCTGAACTGAATACTTTTTAAAATTACTTCCAGATTTAAGAATCTACAACAATGTGGACTTTTACTTCTCTAATGGGACCAATGACAGGATTAAGGCTTCAAAACAGAGATTAAAGAAAGATTTTTAAAATAAATCTAAAATAACCTTCGGCCAAACTTAATCACCAAGACACTTTTCTTCCAATAAGAAAAATGTGTCACTTTCCCCAAAAATTCCCCACAGCCTCTTCACTTACTGCAGCAGTGATGTAAAGGTCAGGGAGGTGCTGACGCACACAGGCCTCTGCCTCAGGAAGGAGGTGGTGATCCCTCAGACTCCACAGTGCCCTTTCAGGATCCATACTTGGGGAGCATTTAGTGGTGGCTGTATAGCTGTAAGACATTCACAGAGGAGTCCATGAGAAAGATGATCCTAAGTGATTATATATGCAAAAGGACTTCAGAAACTGTCTTCTTCAAAGGAGAAAAGCAACTCACCGGATGAGGTTCAGCACACAAAGATCCGACTCTTTCTCAATACCCTGGTTCAATAGGATGCCATCCACTTTGCTGACAGCTTGCTCTTCATTCATCAGGTATCGATGATACAGCTTTTTCCAAGGAATGAACTATATAGTTGAAAAAAATCCAAAATAACATGTAGGCAATGGCTATTAGAGAGATTAGGCCACAAACATATGGATTGCCTTCTACCAATTAAAAAGCAATTATCCCTGGTTGGTATGGTTCAGTGATTGGGTGTTGATCCATGAAACAGGAAGTCATCAGTTCAATCGCAGGTCAGGGCACATACCTGGCTTGTGCCTCAATCCCCAGCAGGTGGCATATAGGAGGCAGCCAATCGATGTTGATGTTTCTCTCTCTCTTTCTCTCTCTTTTTTTCTCTCTTTCTCTTTCTCAAATCAATAAAAACATATTGTTTAAAAAGGTAATTATATTCCAAGGAGATGCAAGGCCATTGTTCACATTAGTGTTTGTCAGTCATTGTCATGATTTAATTTTATGGATATTGTAAGGTAAATTGTAAGAAATTTAATTTTATCAATAAATAATATTGTTATTTTAAAAAAAGGTAATTATAACTCACAATTCAAAAGCTGAGCAAATAGGGTACAAACATTACACAAATTTTGGTTGGAAACTAGGAGAACTAGGTCTTGGTTTTGGTTGGAACACTAACTTAACATAGAATCTGGGAAAAGCTAGTACTTCAATTTCACTATCGAAATATCAGCACACAATGGCTCAGAGTTCCAATGATGATTAAAAAAATGAAAGCTGTGTCTATACTAGTATCAGACAAGAGAGACACTAAGTCAGAAATTATATTATAAGAAGACTATATAATGACAAAAGGGTCAATTAACCAAGAAGATGTAACAATTATAAGTATATATGTACTAACAACAGAGCTCCTAAATCTAGGAAACAAACACCAACAGAATAGAAGGAAAAAATAGACAGCAATGTAATAGCAATAGAGGCTTCAATACTCCACTTTCAAGAATGGATAGCACAACCAGTCAGAAGAGCAATTAGGAAACAATCATTTCATTGAACCTAACAGACCTATACAGAACACTCCACCCAACAACAGTAGAATACAGTCTTCTCAAGTGAACATGGAACATTTTCCAAAAGTGATCACATGCTAGGGCACAAAACAGATCTTAACAAATTTTAAAGGATTAAAATTATAGAAAGTATCTTTTTCAATTCCTGTGGAATGAAACGAGAAATCAGTAGCAGAAAAAGAAAAGAAAACCCCCACAAACACATGAAAATTAAACAACACACTCTTAAAACAAGCAATGGGTCAAAAAAGAAATCATGAAGAAATTAAAAAATACCTTGAGACAAATGAAAACAAAACACAGCATACCAAAACAGATATGAAGAACCTTTACATACGGGTGTGAGTCGGGGTGTTAGAACAACACGTGTAAAGAAATATGCAGTCTTTGGTTGGAATGCAACAAATCACGCGTTGTGGATAGAACACAAGGGTGTGTTGAGAAGTGAGCAATGAGGCTGGGATAATAAAGTGGGACAAACATGGAAAGACTTACCTGCCTCCAGGGAATTTGGATATTATTCTGGAGGCAAATGGAAACTAAACGCTATAATCAGAAGTATTATTGGAGAATCAAGATGGTGGCGTAGGTAAATGCTGGTACTCACTGCCCCCCAAAACCACATCAAAATTACAACTAAAATACAGAACAACCATCATTCAGAACCACCTGAAATCTAGTTGAATGGAAGTTTTACAACTAGAGAAATAAAGAAGAAATCACATTGAGACTAATAGTAGGGGCAGAGGTGCAGAATGAGCTGGTCTGATACCCACATGTGGCAATTTTTATTTGGGAGAAATATCTCAGCTGTGGAGGCCTCCTGGGAGGAGCAAGGGGTCCCAGCCCCACACCAGACCCACAACCCAGGGTTCCAGTACTGGGAAGAGACATCCCATAACTTCAGACTATGAAAACCAGCAGGGATTATAGCTGAATGATATGGAGGCTGCCAGAGTCCCAGGCAGTTCCTCTTAAAAGGCCCAGGCACAGACTTACTCAGACTCACTCCCTCTGAGCTCCAGCACTGGGGCAGCGGCTTGGGGGGGACCCAGAGACATATAGAGAATTGGACTGTCTGGAATAGGGGCAAGAACTTGGGGGTTCCCACACAGGGGTGCTCACAGGGTTCATTGTTCAGAGTCCATTATTCCTATGCTAAGACCTCTGCCATTGCAGAGCTGACTGGCAACCATATTTGAGTCTCCATCAACCTGGCTCAAATTGTTTGCTCCACCCTGGTGATTTCCTAAGACCCTGCCCCACCCAATTTGTAGCCCCATCCAAGCTATTTGCAGTAGCTTTTCTATATGAATGGCTTGTCCTGTCTCAGGGTTCAGACTCTCCTAAAATTTCTCAAACAAGCAACAGCTGGTGTCAGAGTGCCCCATACCTATCAATAAGAGGTCCAAGACCCAGCACTACCAGCCTGCCTTGTTTCACAGCTTGGCCTCACCTGGGCGCTTCTAAGCCCGATACAAGTAGCAGCCATCTGCAGATTGCTCTGTAGCTCCTGACAGGTGGCCCCAGGCAGTGGTTGACTTTGCACCTCCCAGAAGGCCCCAGAGCCAGTGTTCCCAGTGGATAACTTCAGACAACACCAGATTACAACTTTACACATCCACAAGCAACACACTCAAGGGGCAGATTCAGCAAGCACCAAAGCCCCACTAAAGCAAGTCCTACACCATAGGGGTGTCCCCTGCACAACAGTAGTTGCAGCTGGTCCTCACAGCCAGCCAATTGGCCTGGAGGTAAATTCCTCCCAGTGACACCAATAGCAATCAAGGCTCAACTACAATAAGACAGTGCACACAGCCCATACAGGGGTTCAACCTAGAGTGCCCAGCTCAGGTGACTAGGGAGGCTGAGCCACTGGGCCATACAGAACACCTACTACACAAACCACTCTACCAACTCCAGGAGGCACAGAAGCTCTACCTAATACCTCAGTGGTTCTCAACCTGTGGGTTGGGACCCCTTTGGGTGTCGAATGACCCTTTCACAGGGGTCGTCTAAGACCATCGGAAAACACATATATAATTACATATTGTTTTTGTGATTAATCATTATGCTTTAATTATGTTCAATTTGTAACAATGAAAATACATCCTGCATATCAGATATTTACATGACGATTCATAACAGTAGCAAAATTGCAGTTATGAAGTAGCAACGAAAATAATTTTATGTTTGGGGGTCACCGCAACATGAGGAACTGTAATAAAGGGTCGCAGCATTAGGAAGGTTGAGAACCACTGTAATTCATAGAAACAAAAACATCAAAGTAGCCAAATGCAGAGACAAAGAAACATGTTACAAATGAAAGAACAGAAAATATCTAAAGAAAAAGAACTAAACTAAATGGAAGCAAACAAACTACTAGATACAGAGTTCAAAACAATCATTATAAGGATCCTCAAGGATCTTAATAAAAGTTCAAGGGACTTAGTGAAAATTTCAAGAACATTAGTGAGAACATCAAAGACATGAAAAAGGACCAGTCCAAAATTAAGCATACTCTAACTGAAATAAAGAAATATTTACAGGGATTCAACAGTAGAGCAGAGGATGCCAAGAATCAAATCAGTGACCTGATGAGGAAGCAAAAAACTCCCAATCAGAAGAGCAAAAGAAAAAAGAATAAAAAAATATGAAGATAATGTAAGGAGTCTCTGGGACAACTTCAAGCATACCAACATTTGCATTATGGGGGTGCCAGAGAAGAGAAAGATATTGAAAACTTATTTGAAGAAATAATAACAGAAAACTTCCCTTACCTGATGAAAGAAATAGACCTAGTGAAATAAATAGACTCTGAGGAAACACAGAGTCCCAAACAAGAGTAACCCAAAGAATCCCATACCAAAACACATCATAATTAAAATGGCAAAGGTTAAAGACAAAGAGAGGATCTTAAACTCAGCAATTGAAAAGCAGTTACTTACCTACAGGGGAGCACCCATATGTCTGTCAGCTGATTTCTCAACAGAAACTTTGCAGGCCCAGAAGAGAGTGGCAAGAAATATTCAAAGTAATGAATAACAAGGACCTACAACCAAGATTAATCTACCCAGTAAAGCTATCATTTAGAATTGAAGGACAGATAAAGAGCTTCACAGATAAGAAAAAGCTAAAGGAGTTCATCACCACTAAACCAGTATTACATGAAATGTTCAAGGGTCTTCTTTAAGAAGAAGGAAAAATATGTATATATGAACAATAAAATGGAAATAAATATATATCTATCAACAATGGAATCTAAAAATCAAAATAAATGAACAAGAAATCTAATAAACAAAATCAACTGATGAATAAAATAGAACCAGAGACATGGCAACATGGTACAGACTGATAAATCTCAGAAGGAAGAGGGGAGAAAGGATGGGAAGAGCTTAATCAAAGAACTTATATGCATATATGCATTACCTATGGACACAGACAATAGGGTGGTGAAGGCCTGGGGCAGGGTGGGAACAATGTGGAAGTGGGGCAATGGGAGGAAAAAGGAGAGACATCTGTAATACTCTCAACAATAAAGATTAAAAAAAAAAAAGAAGTATGTATTAGGGAAGCTAATCTTTTTATTTTTAGAGAAAACATCAGAGAACTCCAAGTGTTTTACATACCAGTGGATCACTAATTATCTCCCTCCAAAGATGGCACACCAAGCACAGATTCCAATAGAGATCTTCCACAGGGAGGAAAGCAAAAATGTGCCTTAGGACTTCGCTGGGAAGGCTGCAGATATGGCTCTGGGGTTCCTGGCAGGGCAAGGTTCCAAGAAGTCCATAGTAAGAGTCAGGAATGGGATCATGATCCATGTTCTCCACTTCTTGGCTGGGTTCTTCAGTCTCTGCAGAGAGCCATGACAAAAAGCCCTCTGCTTCCAGTCTAGCTTCCCTTGCCTTTGTGCAGGACAGGGGCAAATAATGCTGTGGGGTTTTTTTAGAAACCCCATGCCAGTGACTGGTCCCCGTAGCTTGATTCCTCTCATCCTCAAAGGACCGAGAGCGCTTCCTTACCAGCAGAGCAGAGCCTGACGAGCCCAGTCTTGCTTCTCCATCATCTTCCTGAGAGAGGGCACAATTGCTTTCTGTAACAAACATCATTTCACCCTCTGAGTCCTTAGAGCTGTCCTGGCCCACAGAATTGCATTTAGCCATGTCATTGGTACACCGCCGCTGGCCAGCTGGGAAGAAGTCAGTGATGTACCTTTGACATCCTTGACCTGCACAGAGAACCCAAAAAGAGTAACAAGAAATTAATGACTGCTGACCCATTATTAACCCAAATGATACAAACTAATTTCAATTAAGAGACAAGAATATAGTTATTGGTTAAATGATTATATAAAGAGCTTAAACAGCCCCCCCTCAAAAAACAACACATTTACATTTGGCTCCATCATATAGTTAGACACACATATGGAATGACAGAAACCAGTCTTCAGATAGTGTGAGGACCACATTATATTTGTAATATATACAAACTGAACATATGAATGGACAAAGCAAACAACTGTCCACATTCACTCACACATCCATCTATAAAAATTCATACCTCCTAGCTTGCTCTTATAATAATAAAAAAATCTAAGTTTGCTTAAGTAGAAAGAAAAATGCTTCAGGTTATCAGGATTCAGTAAAACCCACCCTCCCATGTGACAGAGTTAAAACCGTTTTATTTTCATTTCTTCCTGTGCAGCTGACATGTTTATTTTAAAATAAAAAGAAAGGACTTGGAATTCTCTTCAGATTATTAGAGTGGTATCTAATCTAATTTATACATTTATTCATAAGCACCTATGATTCTAAGACAAAAATAAAATGAAAAATGATATAGTGTAGGGAATGGCTATAGAGTTAAGCCTCGGATTGACCTGTGGCAGGGCCACAAACAAGTCCCAGCTTGGAGGGCAGAGCCCTCCTAGCATGGTTAAGCTTGACCTTATAGTCCTCCCTTGCTCCTTCCTAAGTAGCTAATGGGCTGTGGGAGGTGCAGCAAGTGCTACCAAAACAAGGTGAAACTCACAAAAACATTGTAAACATGTTGACCACTTCTCTTGTTTTGCTTTGTGTGCTCTGACTATAAAATAAAGCTTTGGCTTGCAGGCTGGATCACTGTTTCCTTATCCAGGCACAGTGATTCCCCCTAGCCCCAGCTGTATTCTCTTGTCTGTCTTCTTTAATCCTTCACCGCCCCTCCTCAGGTTCACCCTTGGCTGTGCTGGCGTGGCACAATATAGTCCCTGACCTCACAGACTTTTCAGGCACTAAGGGGAATCAAAAGGTGATTTCATACACCATTACTGCACTTTAAACTCTTATAAATTATTGTAAAATGCCAATGAACAACTTATCAATATACAACAAAATACATGGTTCCTTTCTGAAATGACTGTAGCCAGAATTTTTACTTTGGAAATAAGAGAGTGGAACAAAACTAAGTTTAGCCTTGCCTGGCCTGCATAGCTCAGTGGTTGAGCATTGACCTATTAACCAGGAGGTCACAGTTCAATTCCCAATCAGGGCACATACCTGGGTTGCGTGTTCAATCCCCAGTGTGGGGCATGCAGAAGGCAGCTGATCAATGATTCTCTCTCATCATTTATGTTTTTATGTCTCTCTCCCTTCCTCTCTAATATCAATAAAAATATATTTTTTAAAAATGTGTTTAAAATATATTTTAAAAAATCATTTTATAATGTTTTTATAACATTCTGAAAAAAATGGAAAAAAATCCTAGGTTTGGCCTTTAAAAGAATTTAATTTTTTTTTTCTATGTTAGGAAAATAAAACTATAACTGTTTCTGGGGTAATGTGATAAAAACCCAAATTTGAAGTTAACAGGCCTCGGTTAAATCTTGATATCTTCTAATTGTGAGAATTCAATCACAGCAATATCTATTAAGAGTCTACTACATGCTCAGTGCTAGGACTCCCCATTGAAACATACACATGCTGACAGTCTTAATCAAAAAGAATTCACAATAGAGAAGTTGACTTATCTACACAAAACAGACAAAATATAACCAGTTAGTTTAAAACTGCCTCATAAATTGGTTATGGCAGCTCCAGAAGTGATAAAAACACAATATTTAAAGACAACTGGGTAAGATTTAAGTTGGATGATGAAATTATATATCAAAGGGAAATAAGGCAATCTGGATCATACATCTATTATTAAAAGATGGTTGGTAATATTTTATTTAAAATCTTTTTTCCTCAAAATATTAATGTTTATTGCATGTAATATTATATATAAAATCATTTTTCTTGAAATATTAAGTTTATTGCAGGTAACATATTTAAAATCATTTTTCTTGAAATATTAATGTTTATTTCATGTAACATATTTAAAATCATTTTTCTTAAAATATTAATGTTTATTGCATATAACATATTTTAAAGTTTTTCTTGAAAAAAATTAATTTTTTAAAAAGTTGGAATTCATTTGGCATATAGGGAAATGATACAGAACTTGCATGTAATAAATAATAAATATCAGGTGATGGCAAGTTTGAGCTTGGGTCCATAATAGTAACAGGGGGACATTTCGCTGTCTGTTCTTGAGTGGCAGTGACATGACAGGAAATGGTACTCAAGAATATTATCTTGATGTATGTTCCACCTGGTTTGAAAGAAATAAAATCTAAAGGCAAGGAAAAGTGTTACTGCAGCAGTCCAGGTCTGAGGTAACCAAGGACACAGTCTACCACGAAATCACTGAATGAGGGAACATTCTGGAGAAAAATAATGATACAATGGACCTACTGGCAATTGGACAAAGAAGATTACTGCAGAGTCTAGAAATCAAAATGGTTCTAGATTATAATAGTGATGATATTGGTATGTGTTTTCTACCATGTTATAATTAAGCAAGCTAATGGAATTCATTCAGTCATGTTTTCCTGGGGCCTTTGCCAACCACTTACAATAGGAAGAAATTTTCATAGAAAATGCACAAATAATGAAAAAAGTGTCAAAATGTTGCAACAGGACTACAAAATCACTACAATTATACTTACAAATACTGGGAGACATTCAAAAGCCACACACACTACAGATTCTAAATGCAAGGTACATTTTTGGAAGACATACCCCTAGTCCCTCTTTTTGTTCTGGGTCTAGGATAGAGACCATGGTTCGGGTCTCTGTTTGTCCATCTTTGACTGAAGGGCTGGGTCACAGCCAAGTGACTTCGAGACAAATGTTGGCAGTCGATGGCTGTAAGATGCTTCCGCTTAAACCGTCTCACTGTATTACACCAATTGGCAAAAGAAATGGGACACTTGTTAGTTACCATCAATTCTACAAGCTAGCCAGAAAATTATTCTTAATTTTCAGGAATACAGTGACTGTGGACCACTTAGCCAACCCTTTTCTTCTTCTCTACCTTCACATCAACTTTTAGTCATTTCATAGTTTCTTAGCATTTCTTCCTCAAAATTTAAGAAAAAAATTCAAAAATAAGATCCTAAAAAGACTTTTTTTTTTTAACTTATACTTTCTAGAAGCCCTGATCATAAAATACTCTTTCAAAAGGAAGTTGCCAGTAGTAGATAAATTGAGATCTGGCATCTTTTACTTGACTTTAGAGCCAGGCACTTATGCTCCCATAAAAATCATGAGTTGGCTATAACTTTTCAAAAATAAACTCATCCATCATCCCCTGTACAGTATATACCAGCTTCTCCAAGTCTCAGAAGCAGAAGACAATGACAAACAAAACAGTCACTGTAAATTCCTAGAGAAGACTATACTGTCAGCCTCTTAGCCCCCAGATCTCAGCATTGGGCACAGGATAGGAGTGAGGTTCCCAAATATAAGAGAACCAAGTCCGCTTTTAGAAAGATCTCAAAGGAGGAAATCTCATATTCTCCGTTAGCAACACATTATAGCAATTGTACCTAGAATTTTGTCTCAAGTCTTTAGTTGTGCACCCAAATCTACAATACACCGCTAAATTCAGCTTTTGGAAAGGTACAAAATAGAGGCTGTCAGCAGATTTGTATAGAACAGCTCATACACATACAGTGCACCTTGGATTTTTTTCTATAAAAAGTACGGAATGGCTTTATCCTATTCTTCCCCAGTGCATTAAAAATACAGAAGCATTGAAAATAACCAACTAGGTAGTTATGTCTTAATCACATGGCTAAGAGTCAAAGAAGGTAAGAAAATATTACATCTTTTCCTCTGCTGTACCCTCTGCATGTAGCATGGTGCCACACACACAGTACATGGTCAATAAATACTGAAAGAACAAAGGAGGATGAGAACACAGCAAAGTCAGAGTGGTAAGGCTGGGTGGACAGTAGAGGAACCTAAGCCCTAGATCACTAGGAATTTGCTTTCATGTGGAACTTGGCAAGAAAAGACCACATGCCCTAGTTAGTTTGGTTCAGTGGATAGAGTGTCCACCTACGGACTGAAGGGTCCCAGGTTCGGTTCCCGGCCAAGGGTACATGCCCGGGTTGCAGGCTTGATCCCCAGTAGGGAGCATACAGGAGGCATCCAATCAATGATTCTATCTCATCATTGATGTTTCTATCTCTCTCTCCCTCTCCCTTCCTCTCTGAAATCAATAAAAAAAAATTTTTTTTTTTAAAATAAGACCACATGGAGGAACTCTTAGGTGTAGCATACCAGACAAGAAAACACCAAAAATACCCAAAAGAAACTGTTTTATAAAAGTAGATAATATGG